AGCATTGTACATTTTTTTAATCCAGTGTTTTCTGAACCTTTTGTTTTTCAGAGAAATCAACCAGTAAAAATCAAAAAGTACAGAGAACTTATTCTTATGTTCTCAGTGAAGACCTCAAAGTTGTTTAATACAGATATTTTTAGCATTATCTGTATGAACTAGTTTTTCAGAACTGTTGGAAATTTGATGAAAAAACTTCTGAACCATGCACATATGAACAAAATTATATGTATTTGTGCTAAATATATTTGAAATATAGTTTTAACAGCACAAAACAGCATTGAATCAATGACTGCTAAATCCTTGGATCAATAATAGAGGCTCGATTATGTCTATTATTTTAACGCAGGTTGAATAGTTGTAAAGCTATTTTGAATTACAAAAGCAAAAGAGGGATAATAGAATTTCTAACTATTTCTGGCTGCTTTTTCATAATTCATTTTTAGTTGGGAGCCTAACATTTTAGATTTATATCTTATCTTTTTGACAAAAATACATTTTCACAGCTGAGTAGATTGGTACTGAGAGAAACCACAGGGAATGGGAATACAGTATACAGAACATATAACGCAGAAAACCCTTATCCCAAATTTGTTGACTCAATAATAATAATAATTAATAATAATAATCAGGATTAAAGACAGAAAGCAAATCTCTCTGTAGGAATTTTCTTTATCTTATTTGCAGGTTCATTATATTTTCTTTCTCATAAATCTGACAACTGAGGAAGAGTGTTGTATCATAGCCCACATGGCTTTTCTTTAATATTTAATCAGTTATGTCAGTTGAGATTTTTACTACCTAAATTCATAAATCTAGGTAACGGAACCTGTGCTTATTTCCTTTTCTTTTGTCCCTTTTTTAGTTTTCCAGTCCTAATTCAATGATGGTGTGATATCTAAAGCTATCCTGCATTTCTAGACTGTTCTCTTAATGCACCGATGTCTTACCAGTTACTTTAGAGTTATGTTCTGTCTTTCATCTAGAAGCTCAGGTGATGTATATGGGACTTATTCCTTTAATTCCACCCCACAAAACATCCTTCCAAGATAGGGTGGACTGGGACACCACCCCAAAACTAGAATAATGGGTCTTCGTAGCAAAGGATGGAAAGTAATATAGAGAAGATCCACCCATGCAATTGTCACCATCTCATGGATGCATACAATCTTGTTACAGACAGATGTAGCATTAATGGGCATCAGCATCAGACCTTTCAATTCCCACTATAGACAAATGGCTACAGAAGCTGATGGAGTTGGCAGAAATGGCTACCCGTGATGGCCCTGGTGAATGGAAAGGGTAGCATCCCAATGGACATGCAATCAAAATTCCGATACTTGGCAACTGACTCCTATTTATGATGGTTGCAGTGTTCTGGGATCATGTGACCATCTTCTGTGACTTTCTGACAAGCAAAATCAATGGGGAAACCAGGCCCGGCCGCCTTGTTTAGGGTGACCCGCTCCCTTCTTAAAGTGGAGGAGGCGGAGGAACCCTTGCAGGGGAGAGCTGAGGAGTTTGTTCAGTTTATGTCGGACAAAATTGCTCAGATTCAGAGAGACCTGGACTCCGACTGGACAGTACCAGCCGAGTTGCCAGGGGCTGGTCTTAGTCATGTTATCTGGAGCGAGTTTGAGCCTGTGACCCCTGATGAAGTGGACAAGGCCGTGAGGGCAATGAATGCCGCCACCTGTTTATTGGACCCGTGCCCCTCCTGGCTGGTTTCTGCCAGTAGGGAGGTGACACGAGGCTGGCTCCAGGCGATAATCAATGCCTCCTTGATGGAGGGGTCTTTCCCGCAACCTTTAAAGGAAGCGGTGGTGAGGCCCCTCCTCAAGAAGCCTTCCCTGGACCCAGCTGTTTTGAAGAACTTTCGTCCTGTCTCCAACCTCCCCTTTGTGGGGAAGGTTGTAGAGAAGGTGGTGGCGTCTCAACTCTTGCGATCCTTGGATGAAACCAATTATCTGGACCCTTTTCAATCTGGTTTCAGGCCCGGCTACAGCACTGAGACTGCTTTGGTCGCACTGACCGATGACCTCTGGCGAGCCCGGGATAGGGGTTATTCCTCTATCCTGGTGCTTCTTGACCTCTCAGTGGCTTTCGATACCATCGACCATGGTATCCTTCTGCGTCGTCTCGGAGAGGTGGGGGTGGGCGGCACCGTATTGCGGTGGTTCTCCTCCTACCTCTCTGACAGATGTAATGCACTCTACATGGAGCTACCCATGAAGGGCGTTCGGAGGCTGCAGTTGGTTCAGAATGCAGCCGCGAGAGTCGGTGTTGGCAGGCGGACAGAGATCGACCCCTAGGCGCCTCGATTATGGGGTGCCTCAGGGCTCGGTCCTGTCCCCCCTCCTTTTTAACATCTACATGAAACCGCTGGGTGAGATCATTCGGCGACATGGGGTGAGGTATCATCAGTACGCGGATGATACCCAATTGTATATCTCCACCCCGTGTCCTTTCAGTGAAGCAGTCGACGTGATGTGCCGGTGCCTGGAAGATGTGAGGGTCTGGATGGGGATGAACAGGCTTAGACTCAACCCTGACAAGACAGAGTGGCTCTGGGTCTTGCCTCCCAAAGGCCAACTGGATGGTCCATCTTTAGTCCTGGGGGGGGCAAATTTACCTCCCTCAGTGCAGGCACGCAACTTGGGTGTCCTCCTGGACTCACAGCTAAATTTGGAACAACATCTATCGGCTGTGGCCAGGGGAACCTTTGCACAGGTTCGCCTAGTGCACCAGTTGCGGCCTTATTTGGACCGGGAGGCTTTACTCACAGTCACTCATGCTCTTGTCACCTCAAGACTGGATTACTGTAATGCGCTCTACATGGGGCTACCCTTGAAGGGCGTTCGGAGGCTGCAGTTGGTTCAGAACGCAGCCGCGAGAGCGAATGTGGGCGCGCCAAGGTACGCCCACATGTCACCTATCCTCCGTGAGCTGCACTGGCTTCCTGTGGGTCTCCGGACGCAATTCAAGGTGTTGGTTATCACCTTCAAAGCCCTTCATGGCATAGGGCCAGGTTACTTACAGGACCGCATTCTGCCGCACAGCTCCCAGAGACTGGTGAGGTCCCATAGATTGGGCCTCCTTCAGGTCCCGTCGGCCAGACAATGTCGGCTGGCGGGCCCTCGGGAAAGGGCCTTTTCTGTGGTGGCTCCGACCTGGTGGAATCAACTTCCCCCCGAGGTTCGAACTACTCCCACCCTTCCGGCCTTTAAGAAAGCCATTAAAACTCTCCTGGTCCGGCAGGCCTGGGCTGATGTCTCCGGGGGGCCGGGATATGATCGGACTTGCGGTATGACTGGATTATTTTATTGTTTTACGACTGTTTTTAACTTTGTACGCCGCCCTGAGTCCTTTGGGATTGGGCGGCATATAAATATTTGTAAATAAATAAATAAATAAAATAAATTCACTTAACAACCGTTTTACTAACCTAAATGGGGAAAACTCATTTGACAACTATCTCTCTTAGCAACAGAAATTTTGGCCTCAATTTTGGTCATAGGTCAAGGACTACCTGTACACATTGTCACTACCCACCCACCGATCTTGCATCCTCCCCACCACCTAAAACCATATTGTAATTCTCCATAAAGCCCCTCATCTTTCAAATCCTATATTCTACATACCTTCATCTTTCTCAAGGAAATTATAAAACCCTGTATTAAGGTTTAGTTTGTAAGGTTTCTCCAGCCCACACTTCTTTCACTCCAGAAGAACATTCTTCAACTCTCCCTGGTTCTCACCCAGGAAGAATGCTCTTATAGTCCACTCCAGTTTGGGCAAATTCAATAGATTTTTTAATTTAAGGCCACGGTAATTTCCAGTACTGCTTCTAGAGCATGGCAAATCATTCTTTTTTTAAGATTCTGGCTCCAGCTTAATATCCCTACCATACTGGCAGATTAGCTAATTTGACTAATTATCTTTCTTCAATTTCTGAAAAGTACTTATATATCTTTGAGAGCCTGAAATAGTTATCTTGGCATTTCAGTTTTGGAAATCCCTTTCTAAAATGAGATGTATTTCTTGTAATTAAAAAAAAATACTATAAGCATTTAATCTTTATTTAGTGGTTTAATTTGTTTTATGTACTGGAACAGGGCAGGTGGTTGCACGGCCAACCGGTGTGTCCGGCAGGCCAGATAGTGTGCCTCCCCCTGCTATCTCCCTCTGCCTGATGCCAATGCTGCCACTGCGAAGCAAGCAAGGTGAGGCAGGTGCGAGGAGTGGGTGGTGCCATGCTATGGCTGTTGCATGCTCAGCTGCCGCCATCCAACCTCACACTCCAGCTCCACCGCACTATCCGTGATGGCCCTGGTGAACGGAAAGGGTGGGGAACCCCCATCTGCAAGAGGCAGATGGATCTGAGTGCGGTGACTGCCAGCCTGGCTCTCCAAGCAGCAGGCAGAGGCAAAAGCACAGCTGCCTGTCCCGTCCCAGATGCGAAGGCTGCAGGCAAGCAAAGACAGATAATGGGGCCACAATGCTGGAGCCCAGCTGGTCACCATCGCCACCATGTCACACCACTGTATGCTCAGTCCTCACCATCCAAACTTGTCCTCCATTCGGTTACCTCCTGCACAACCCGAGAGGGTCAGCAAAGCTCTTTTGTGGATCAGACCCAGTCCCACTCACCCTCCTCTGTAGGAGACCCCTGGATGCCCCCCATACCTGCTGCCCCCCCAGACATTCCCCTATGCAAGTGACAGCAAATTGGCCATGCCCACCCCAACCATGCCCACCCCATAGGATGTGACCACCTTAGCCACGTCCCTCCGCCACTCCAAGGGCAACCACAATGCTGATGTGGCCCTTAATGAAATCGAGTTTGGCACCCCTGATCTAATGAATCCATCTCAGTTGTCTCCAGAGGGATTTGTTTGTCCTCTGTGATAACTTCTGTTTCCAGTAAAAAATTGAAAAGTTCAAGTACTTCACAGGCTCATAAATGAAATGTTTCTTTTAAAGTAGCTATTTTGTGTTCTGGCAATCTGACTTCAAAGTTTTGTTTTATAATCAATATGTAAACAAGACAGCTGTCACAAACAAGAAGTTCTTTTTCATTAAATTTATACTTTCCTTTTTTCTTTTCTTTATGCTTTCAGAGATCTCTGAGCAACATGAAATCCTCAGGCAGAAGGTTATATCGTCAGCTGTGCTGCCTATTATTAGTGAATTTAGTTTATGGCAGTAGAGAATTTCAAAGAAAAGTACTTCAATATATAGGATATACTCATAATTATTGCTTTTGAAGGGCATCTTTGCAACTGATTGCGTTCAGGAAACTCTCCGTACAGACAGTTGATGAGCTCTGGGACTTCATGGAACATATAAGTCGTGGGCAATTAATCGCCCAAACTCGTAGTGCCTGCTTTTTTTATTTTAACGATTTTCAAAAAATGTATGTTGATTGTTCAGCCTCAACGAGTCATGAAGTAGGCAAGAGACATGTAGCATCCAAGAGATCAATTTTATATGCGGACAGAAAACCTTACAAGGTAAAAATAACATGATTTCCCCTCTATTTCTATTTGGTTTCATATTCATGGTAGGTCTCTGATGTTAAAGGTCCAAATTTTTCTCTTTTCCAGGATTATTTTAGTCCATTTTTACTTATAAACAATTATTTTCACATTGCAAGCAATACAAGGGATTAGAGACATAATGGAGGGAATCTTCCCTCCTTTCCGATTTTTGATAGGAAAGAACAAATTCTCTTGGATGAGAGAACGAGGATTCCAGTCTTAAGTGTCGGGGGCCATAGAATTACAGCCAAATGGAACCCCTACGGATTTCTCTCCTGCATTTCTTTCATGTATTACTGCTGAACACTTAATGCTCTACAGGTTTTTGTTACACCAGTGTCCTACAGAGTTTTAGAAGTAAACATTGTTTAATTTTTTAGATTAACTTTGGGGAGATTTTCCTGGATTCACAACCCCTCTTAATCAGCAGGTGGCAGTTATGGCTCAAAAGGCTTTTGCATAACTTCATCTGGTGTTTTAATTGCATTCTTTTATAGATTGAAGGACCCTTGAGGGCCACTCTAATCACATCACAACTTGATTACTGCAATGCCTTCTATGTGGAGCTCCCTTTGAAGACCACCCAGAACTTCAACTTATCCAGAATGCAGTGTCACAAGCAGTGATGGGCGTGCTTCTAGGTGCCCACATAGAATCAGGGAATCAGGAAGCATGCAAATACAACAACAACAACAATAATAATAATGGTATTTGTACTTATAATAATACTAATTGTTTCATGGGAATTTAATTTATATTCATTCATAAATATTAATAAATTTGAAAAACTGACAAGGGCTATATTTTAAAATATTTTATAGTTCAGTGTTAATCATTAAAGCAGATTATAAATCTGAAAGTGAGAATTTTTAATTTGCATTTTCGTTTGTACCATTATGCTATTACTATTTTTAAAAAACAAAACTGTTCTCTTTACCAATTATGAACAATTTATAGAATTCTAATATTTCTTGCTGTTTTCTCTCCTTTTCCTCTGCAGACTCCTTGAATCGGAAGCACAAAGCAGGAAGCGTATCGTAAAATAAGGCCAAAAAAAGAGCTCGCTTTACCATAGATGATTCTGAATACTATTTCTTATTATCTTTTTCTGATTTGAAAAACATGTTGGGTATAATAATTACAAACATGAGCTTCTTCTTTTAACAGAGTTCCAACATTTCCATTTGCCAATTCCAGTGCTTTATAAATGTTGAATACTTCCACTCTGTTAGGAATAATATCTTTAAAATTAGCACATGTTTGTAAAATTCTTATTCTTTTCTTTTGGGGAGAAGCGCTAAATTCAGTGGAAATCCTATATATTTTTATAAGCTAATAAATGATCGTGCAATATCAAGAAATATATTTTATAATGTATCTTATAAATGTGATACAGTGATTTTCTGTGCAGTCTATAATTATTAATGTTATAGTTCATGTTGATTATTGCAAATTAAAATATGCTTCTCTGCAGTGAAGATTGAAATAGTGTTGTTATTGTTTTAAATGTAATTTATTGGCTTCTAGCAGTCTATCTTTCTGAAAAATGTCCAGTCCTCACACTTATGTCTGGTGCTTCCACTTATGACTCTCAAACTATCCTATAGTCATGTAATTACAATTGAGGCATTTGGCAACCAGCTCCTATTTAGTGTTCTACAGTCATGTGACCTTATTAGCCAATTTCCACCAAAATTGCCCCTTCAGAAGAAAGGATTTGCACTTATGACTGTAGAATTAATATAACAACCATTGTAAAAATATCCATGAAATAAGATTTCACTTCACTTCCGTGAATATGGCTGACTGAAGACACTTTCAGGGAGGGATCCCTGAAAGAGTTTTCCATGGAATGTAGCTCTTCAGCTACTGACTGAAGGGACTTAGCATTCCTTCAGTTTTGATGACTCACTCGGATCGGTACATTTCCCCTTAAGATCCTCGGATACAGCTGAAAGCCTGCAAGTGGCTTCTGGGCTCCGAATGTATAAGCTGGGAAGAGGGAGGGCTGTAATCTGTTTGTGGTTGAAGAAGCCGCCATCTTGACATTTATCTTTCAAATGGATAGTAAGTTCTGCCTTTTATTTCTTTATCACCTTCAAGGATTACTAATCTAAGAAGATAAAAGACACTCTCTTTAGTCACAGCCTGGTACATCTTTTTGAAAGTCCTGTGCCATTTAGAGATTTCTTTTGTTAAATAACAACAAGGAAGAAGGCTGCTAAAGCAAGCAAAAATAAGGAAGAGAGAAAAAAAGCTAACAGAGAAACATAAAGAAACTTAAAGTTTGCAAACTGTGATTTTATTTTATTATCATAGTACTTTGTAGCTTGGTCTTCTTCGTTGTGAGTGGCTAAAAGTTTCTGATTCTGATCAATTAATTAAATTAAAATGATAATTTAAAAAACCTTTACTCTAGAGATGCAAACATGTGCAGAAAGTTACCAAACTACCAAGGTAATTTCAAAAGTAGCTGAAAATGCAGAGGAGTTCATTGCAAATTTGGAATACAAACCTGACATTAACTTTTATTATGTGATTGCAATTCAGGCATTTGGCAACCAGGTCCTATTTACAACTATTGTAGTGTTCTGCGGCCATGTGACTTTATTTGCCAGTTTCCAGCAAAAAGTGCCTATTCAGAAGAAAGGGTTCATACTTATGACTATAGAATTCATAAGACAACCACTGTCGTAAAATAGGATTTCACATGTTACATGTGGTGCAATCAGCAATAGAGTCTTACATGGAGCCTAGAGCAGAGTAACAAGATCTTATGAATTTTTAGGGAAGATCTTAGGATCAAATGTAGAAATAAGAGCCAGTAATTTCTATCCCAGTTCTGAGGAGGGTGAAATGCAAACTTTTATTCCATTAGTGGCATTTGCTACCAATTTATGTGAGCAACCTGGACCTTTTCTATAATAATGATAGGAATATATTCTAGACTGTATATAGGTGTAAGAAGACATTGCACCATGACAGGAATTTGGACTAAAATATATAGGATATTGCAAGGGATATGGTTTATCAGAGGCAACAAAAGACTCTAAAAAAATAAAACACAGTATCCAAGAAGACACTAGCTGTGAAGAAGTTATGGCTGTTGTCATGTGATATAGATGTTAGTCCAAGACTTTTCCCCACACTGTACAGTTAGGGAAGAAAAGTCCTCTACAACACACAATTACCTACAAAAAAGGAAAGAAAAGGCAGAACATTTACAATAATGTACTAATTTCTATTCAGTCACTTAATCCTTTTAAATAGCAGCTTCAGGCCCAAGTTGTTTGGCACTGGTTCAACAGTCCAAGCAAGGTCCAGTGGATCTGCAACCTTCAATCTGGTATGATGAATCCAAGACTTGATTGCCTGGACTTTAACACAGGTATATATTGTCAACAATATTTAAAAATGCCCCTTGTCTTTGGTTGTCAGTGGACTTTCCTTTCTCCAAACTTGGCTTACACCCAGAATCCGGAGACAAAAGGGTGAAATAGTTGGTCCGATTGAACAGGTGTAACTTTCTACAAATATTTAACAAGAGAAGAAATCATGGCAGAAAATTGTTTATCATAAGCCTGACCAATATCATTTGCAACTTGGTGTGGATCAAAAATTGAGAGACTTCCAGTTTTGCGCCGTAGTGCTCGGCTGAGAAATTGCGGAGCTTCACACACCATGGCTAGTTTCGCCCTGCCAGGGGACCCTAAATAGGTCTAAAGTCACCCCAGAGGTGATGAAGAAAGAGGGGCACCCCGATGATCATGGAATGATGGTGGGTGGCCTGATCGATCTGGGGAAGCTCTCTAACCTGACAGGGGAAAGGCTGACCACATCTCAGTGACCAGCCCAAGCTACTTGCATCTGAAGTCCAAACACACTAACCAGAACAACGGTGAACAGCTTGTCTGAAACTGGGTAAGGAATTCAATCTTCTCTCTCCTATTTTGTATCTGATTTCCTGGAAAATATTTCCAAGAAGCAAAAATCTTCCCAAAGTGAGAAGGGACTACACCCCATCCTACCATAGATGGAGGCAGCGAATTAAACTCTTATGGGGAACAAAAATATAGTGAAATAAGATTAAAAATACTACAATCTGGATAAATTTGAAAACTAAGAAAACCGTTAAATATCTGAAAAAATGAAAAAATTATTACTATTGTTTGTTGTTAATCAAAAAACAAGAAAAACAAACAGTGCATCACAAAAATGGAAGGTTAGACTAGAAAATAAGATCAGCAAATTAAGATCACATGCAAGCAAACTAGAGCAGATGAAAGAAAAGAAACTGAAGAACAAGAAGACCAAAGAATACCTAATCAAGAAATACCACTTTGAAACAAGGAAGATCAAGGAAGCACTGGAAATAATAGCACCTATAGCCAGGAAAATCAGTAGATACGAAGCTTGAATTGCAAATTATAGGCAAAACTTTCAATTTCAATCCAATCAGAAACATTTCTACCAATCCATCAATGGAGAAACTGCAATGAATCAGCCAGTACCCTACAAGGAAGAAATAGTGCAATTCTAGAAGCAGATATGAGATAAGCCAAAGTAATACAACAAGGATGCGGCTTGGTTAAAAGAGGTGGATGCAAATAAAAGTTGAAATGAAAGAACTAGTAATAACAACAAAAATGGTAGAAAAAAGAACAAGGAAAATCAAAAATTGGTCAGCACCAGGTGAAGATGAACTGCATGGATTTTGGTTGAAACATCTAACTGTTATACACCCACTCATTGCCAAACAGTTCAACAACATACTACAAGGAGGAGAAATTGAAAAGTGGCTAACAACTGGGAAAACCAACCTAATAATGAAAAATCCAGCAAAAGGGGCAACACCAGACAATTACCTGCTTACCAACAACTTTCAAATTGCTAATTGGTGTGGTAGCTGATGAAGTACAACAGCATCTAGTTGAAAACAATCTCTTTCCACCTGAGCAGAAAGGAAACTGCCCCAATAGCAGAGGAACAAAAGATCAACTCCTAATAGATAAAATGATCTTGGAAAGCTGCAAGAAAAGGAAGACCAACTTGAATGTGGCATGGATTGACTACAAAAAGGCATTTGACTCTCTGCCACATGACTGGATAATCAAGCGCCTAGAAACAACAGGAGTCAGTAGAAATGTCAGAAAATTTGTGCAAAGATTGATGGCACAATGGAAGACACAGTTGCAGGTCGATGGTGAGAGACTGGGAGAGGTTAACATGAAAAGAGGAATATTTCAAGGAGATTCATTAGCACCACTATTATTTGTTATTGCACTGTTTCCTCTGTCAGAAATACTGAATTACTCAGGAGATGGCTATCAAACATCAAAAACGTCTGCCAGACTATCCCACCTCCTTTACATGGATGATCTGAAGCTGTATGGGAAAACATCCTCTGAAATAGAATCGCTGCTCAGCACTGCCCATTTATATAGCCAAGATATTGCAATAGAGTTTGGCCTGGATAAATGTGCCACACTTACTATCAAACAAGGAAAAATAGTGAAAACTGAAGGGATCAAGATGCCCCACGAAACTAACATTAAGAGTCTGGATGAGAAAGATTACTACAAATACTTGGGTATCGTGCAAGCTGACAACATCAAGCATACTAAAGTCAAGAAAAAGATTAGAGGTGAATATATCAAGAGAGTGAAGAAGATCTTAAAGTCCAAACTCAACGGATCAAATACCATGAAGGTAATCAACACCTGGGCAATTCCAGTCATTAGATACACAGCTGGAATAGTGGACTGGACTAGAATTAAAAGCAGAATTAAAAGCAATGGATAGGAAGACCAGAAAAATAATGACAATAAATCATGCTCTTCATCCACGCAGTAACATTGACAGACTCTATCTACCAAGGCAAATAGATGGGTGTGGAATGCTGCAAGTACATCAGATGGTTGAAGAGGCAAAAATGGCTTTGGAAGAATATCTGAAGGACAATGATGAGGATACACTGAAATTAGTATATAAGGAAGGCTTTCTGACTACTGGAGAGAACAAACTGGTCTACAAGAAAGACCAAATGAAGAAAAGAATAGAGGCATGGGAAGACAAAGCACTACATGATCAGTACATTAAAAAAATAGCTGGGAAAGCTGATAATAACAAGACCTGGCAATGGCTAAGAGCAGGAAAATTGAAGAAAGAGACTGTGGGACTAATTCTGGCTGCACAAGACCAAGCCTTAAGGACAAATGCATACAAAGTTAAAATTGAGAAGACAGCAACAGACAGTAAGTGCTGCCTATTCAAAGAAGCTGAATAAACAGTGGACCATCTGATAAGCTGCTGCAAGAAGATCACACAGACTGATTACAATTAGAATTCAAATA